GCCGGTTGTGTATAGATTGGTTGAATCAGCCGCTATGTTGTCGCTGGAATTCAATTTGTACCGTTTCCTAGTCGAGCTTTTGCTCGTTATGCTTACCACTTTGTCCAATTCACAATACCGCTATTACCATCAGGCTCGGGCTCAAACATTAGAGAGTTTCCCAAGGAAACATTTGATATTTGCATTTCGCTAAACTCCGCCTCCCTTCGATCGAGAATTTATTAAACTCTCCGCATAAAAAAATCTCACTTTAATGACAGAAACATTCATGGATGAATTATACTTACTTCGATAAAACTGGAATTTTTTTCTGTCTTCAAAACAAACTTTGAGATAAACTATTATTTAACGTAAATTTTTAATACCAAATATCACAATATGAAAATATTTTAGCAATTAAAGCTCAAACAAAATATTATTTCTTATTATTGTATTATTTTGCATTCAATAAATATATATTTGATCGATAAAAGCAATTGTACGCAAAATTAAAAAAAAATAAAAGGAATTAATTGTTTCTCATTTCGTCATTGACTGCGAAGCACGATGGTAAACATAACGCGCGAAATAAAACAAAAATGTATTCAAGTGTCATAAAAATTGAATTTTTTTTTACTACATTGAGCTTTCTGTGCGCTCACATTTTTATATCCTCTCGCTACATAATTTATATAGAGCACACAATAATATCACGGCTCATTGCTCTTGAAGGAGCCATCTTCTCATTCACTGCCTTAAGCCATCCCTGATCGCCATCATCCAAACATATCGTTGGCGGTAAGCACCCACTCAATTCTGCTCGTGCGGCATTTACCAACTGAGCAAGGGCATTCTCCTCCTGCAACAACGTGTGTGTATATCGCTTTTCTCGCGCTTTCTCTTTGTCTTTTAGACGCCATCGGGAGGCGAAGGATTCGTGCAGCCGCGCTGCATTCCAAGCGAGCATTTAGTTCTAAAGGCGGGTTACTAATCAACGCCATTCAGCGGAACCACGCACTCCGAAACCACGTACAGGCGGCGCGATTGAAAGCCGATTGCACCACTCGCCCCTCCTTCCGCATCTCGCCTTTTTCCACATTAACTATTTACTTCCGCTTCCTCCTCCGCGCGATTTCTTCGCGCTCGTTTGCCGAACGCTCGTACCACCGATCGCATCTCCTTTTACTTCCATTACCTTTTCTCTTCCGCTGCGATAGGAAACGTATTGAGGATAAATGGATTGCATTCTCGCGCATTCGTCTCTGACGCGCTGATGAGCGCTCCGCTCATCGAGACTGATACGGGATCGTGAGCTCCGGCTAATCAGCTTGATCGTGTAGATGAGCTAACTTCACTTAAAATCTCGAATTCTTTCGATTTATTGAGCAGCGCTTGAGTCTCGTGATACCGCTGAGAGTAAATTACTTTCCAAAGATTATCTTCCACAAGTATACGCTCGATGATCATTTTTCAACTTCTTAACCAACCGTACAATATTTTCACACTTCTTTACTAAATCTGATTGTGTACTCGTAATGATATTTTTCTAATCTATCGCAATGATTGCAAATCGATGCAAATCAGAGTCGCTGCAATCTGTGCTGTTTTCAAATTAGCGAAACTAAGAAAAAAGTTATCGAAACTACTTATGCAAATTCTCAGCGGAAATTGACGGGATCAATCTTCGGCGAAGCCGCTCATCCGCTGTATATTGCGGGCATTATTTCTGGCGGGAGCGAGCGTGGAACGATGCGCTTTATTGAAGGGACGACCGGGAAGGACGATCGTCAAGAAATGTAGACGCAATATCGTACACGGCGGAGCGAACGTGGAATATGGCACCGTCGAATAAAGCGGTCATGTTACGTCGGAAGTGAATAACTCCGCTGCGTCTAGCACGTCAGACATAATCTCGTTTCGCGTTCTAGAAGAGAAGGAGCGTAATCGAGAGAGGGAGAGTACAAGAGCGCGAGCGCGCGCGTTGGAGGATTATCCGTGTTCGCGGCGGACTAAGCCGCTTGTTGCCGCGAGTTTCATCGCTCGTAATCGACGTCTCACCTTCGCGCAGTTCGCGGCGGCAACTATTCCGTCATTCCCAAGGCAATTTTAATGTCGACAGTGACACTCGGAATACGCCGGGCTCCGACGGTGCATTCGAAGACGAATCCGAGAATGCATTATTTACGAATGCATTAAGCGGAATTCTATTAGAAACGGAATTAAGAGCGCCGGTTTTCCACCGATTTCACTCACCTTTCTCTCTTCTAATGCATTTCGAAAACTTGGCTGTCGGGTCGAGACGTGGAGGAAAGAACCCGCGCTGGAAAATGCAGAGTGCGTTCATCGTGAAAAGAATTGCGTTCGAAAGAATTGAATAAAGAGGACACTTCTCGAATATTGCTGTCTCAAGATGGAAGCCGCGTCTCCGTCCTGCGCGTCAGAACATTTCACCCACTTCACACGATTCCTCTATTTCACTCGATTATTATGTTCGATTTCTCCGATTGCTAACTCAATTAGTTTACCATTTTATTTGTATCAAATTATATGTCGAGTGTTAAATTTCAAGAGCAAAATTTATTTTAACCCGAAACTGAAATTCCCTAAAGACCGTCAGAAATTGCACCAAAGTAATACCGTAATTAATTTACTGGCCATATCGTTAGTCGAAATTGCTGCCACAAGCACTCTTGTTATTAATTATTCCAACGAGGATTATTATAGTAGAAGTAGTTTTATTTGTTGTTGCAATGTGCGATAAGCTGCACATGCTGTGATATTCGAGCGAATGAAAATTCCGCCGAGCAGCGACGGTGAACAAAAAGGCCGATGTGGCGATCGCATGAACTAGATTTTGTGTGCGTACATTGTAAGCGAAATTTAATAGAAATTCGTTTGAAGCATCACCGAGTGCAATTAACTAATACCGGCAACGCGAATTCACGTTATTATCGAGACAATTTTATTTCTGGTATGTGTGCTTCCACTCCACCGTTTCATTACGAACGATACATCAACTTGCAATTTCGTGGTATAATGTAGCACTTCCAAATGTTAACAGCGACATCGATTGTAATTTTGTTCTGCACACAAATCCAACGCAATGCATAGCGATAATGTGGCGCACGAGTTCAAATCGATTCAAAGTCACGAATCGTCGCGAATCGTGTCAATTATAGATACGACCTTAATATGTTTACCTTTACACATTTTATTTCAAACATTTTCTCGAAAATAAATTAAAATTGAATATTGCTAATTTATAACATTGTACAAAAGCAGAAGACAGTCAGAAATGTATGTAAGAAGCCACGTTTTGTTTTCCGTCGGAAGTTAATCTTTACTATTCCGAAGTAATCTTCTTGCTCAATTCGGACTTTTAGATCCAACAACAACCTCCAATCTCACTAACTTGTTACGGAAAACCGACGAAACTTGAATTCGATACGCGACAATGCACAAGAAGACACGATAAGGACTATATAACGGACATGATACTAAGCTAAACTTACATTTCTCCGGAAACTTCTCTTGGATCGAATCACTGATCTGTAAATGTAATTATAACGATTTATTATGTGACTTACGAATTATAATAATGTGTGTTTTACAAAAATTTAATGAAGATAAGTAAAAACCTCTAATATTGAAAAGTAAATATATTTCGAAAGAAAGAAGAAAAACGTGAAAAATTATTTGTTTGCCGCAATACGAGTAATTGCGGAAATAATGATTCAGCGTTTGTTTTTTTCACCAATTTCACGATTCGTTGCTATCGCAATATTTGCGATACGTCTCGATTCCAAATTTTCCTATCCAATATGCAAAACTCATGGTTAGCAAATGTAAATTTCGGATAATAACGGGATACAAATTTGAGAGGAGTCGATTGATCATGCATTCATCGTTTAAAGCATTCAAAAGTCATCGACGATCGGTTAGACCGTAATAACACAAAACCGAAATTGAAAGCGGTTTCTCACGCGTAGGATTAATGCCAATTGTATATTCTATATGTAAATTCTACAATCAACATACATTTATAATATGTTATGGTAATCGACAGTACCAAAATTTGATTGATGGTCATAATAGCACGATTCAATACATAAACCATTTGTCCATGGTCAAATTCTATTACATTCCATGATACCGTAATATAATATACAGAATATATTCGAACTTTAACACGTTTTCACGCTAATCTCTTTGTCTAATTTACAAATTAATTTAACTGAATATACGAATGAATGTTATCTTTTGTTCATTATTTAAATATTTTCATATTTTTTTAAATATTCCGTGTTTAAATATTTCTTGTGAAATAATCTTTTAATTAAGATTCTATTAATTTCAGTTCTAGCGTAAAACATTGTCGCCTATTTCAAGTTTAATTCACATAAATTTTGTTCCTTTTTATCCGCAACGATTATTAGTATCTTAGTATTTCATTAGACAAAATGCAACTGCAACTTTATTAAAAAATCCATAGACAGAAAAAAAGAAGTTGAAAAGAATATTCCGTAAAATCTTCAGAAGCTTTCAACAGCAGATAATAATTTGTTTCTGGTAAGAGAAAAATCCCTTTTTTATAGAATTACGCTATACGACACATTTATCTTCACTTATTTGCTCCTGCAATTCAAGATGCGGTATTCTCGTGGATACATTAAGTACTTTATAGTGCCTGAATACAATTTCGCGTCGAAACGAATTTCTTGGGATTTATTCTGAAATGAGGGCGAGTGAAACTCTTGCGGAAAGCATCTTGTAAAGCGGAGAAGCAAAAGGAAGATTTGGTCGCGCACGCGCGCGCTACTCAGTCTAGCCGGCTAGAAAAATCATACGAGCTCAGAGCACAGACGGACGTTCCTCTTTTTGGGATCTTATTACAAGGAGTACGTTGGCAAGCGGTTCGTTAGCCGCGCTACCGCGAGTAACTACTATTTTACGTAGATCTTACGCGTGTAAGAACTCAATGAGGGAGTAAGGCTCTTTACCCGCATAAGAACTCGATGCGAAAACGTGATACGTTTAAAAACTTTTGATTAGACGTGCGCGTAAAAGAATACGAGATACGCGCTAAACCGGATGAGCAAATCTATTTACAACAAATTAAAACGTGAAAATTGTAAACATTTAAAAATATTTTTCTAATTTTTTCACGCTTCCACAAGTTTACTGCTACTTGAAAAGCAAAAACTCGTAAAAAACGTGTGTGAAGCGTACTTTTATGAAAGAGTCATTTCAATAAAATATGCAACACTTGACTATCAGAAAGCATTTATGTAAAAGCATTTTTAAAAACAAAATTTTCAAATTGCGAATATTTCGTGTGCAGTGACCCAATCAACAATGTATGTTATTTTCGCCAAATTACGCGACACGTGAACGCATCTCGAATCGCGCTTAATCCGAGTAAATCGAGGATGCTGCATTACGATTTCCAATTTGGCATGAAAGTTCGCCTGAAAAATGCAACGCGGAGGATTTGCTTCGCACTTTTAGAGCCGCTGCCGAGAAAGAATGCATCTACGAACTCGCGGACCCGACGCACCAGGTCGCATTAGAGCGTTCATTATGGAAAGCAGTGCAACATCAACCGTGGATGTATCCACGCGTGACGAGATAAAAGCATATGCACTCACATCTTATATGCGCATGTAGAATGCACTAAATTCACAAACACGTCCTTTAATAAAATGAATTCTTTAATGAATTTCGAGTTGAAATCTCCACGAAATAAGGCCAGTATTGGTCAAATTCCTTGTTAACTCCTGACATTAAATAAACTCACTAACGGAATGCAGGCAAGAGCTATTTGTAATTAACGGGAAAGATCGGAATAGATCTCGTCTATTCGCATTTCTGCAAACTTTATCTAAATTTTCACTTACTTTAATGCTCGAATTTAAATGTTCGCAATATTAGCATTTACGAAAAATTCTTCATTTCAAAAATACTTTATCGTCAGAAAATTGACTATTTTTGTATATTTTCTTAATTCTTGATAAATATTTTCCTAATTGAGCATTAACGTAAAATTGAAATGCATTGGCTATTAATATTTTAAAAGAAAATTCTTGAAAACTATTGCGTATATTTTAGTATTTTCATGCAAGAAAAATGTATTTCAGATATTAACCAAAAGATAAAAGGACGTGTAAGGAGACGTGGATCAACCTGTATTATAGTCACTGTCGTGTGAGGCGTAACGTACTTGGCCGCAAACGTGCTCGAAATGGCAATGTAACGGGCGTGATAAATCTCGCGTCATGCGCGAACTCCGATACTATGATAAGAGCCACCACGCCGGCGTGCAAGGCGACTTAAATATTTCAGCGGTGAAATATTTCCGCCCAATTTGCATCGGCCGCAAGGTCCGCGCACTCCTACACGCCCGTGTCGCGTCCTGTGAATACGTAATTTCGACGACATTATGCCTCTCCTTTAAAGTATCTCTTGATCGCTTCCCAAAACTCTTGTGACGGCATATCTCAACGAGGATCGATCCTTTAGAATGAAAAATGGTTCGATCAGAACTTGGAGAGATTGGCAGAGTTGATTGTACAACAGCTGGAACGTTGATTTAAAACTAAAATTATGAGCAAAAAATACATTTTCGAAGAGGATATAATTTTCTTATTTAAATTTCATAAATCGATAATCGCGACACAATAAAAAAACATTCTTTTATCAACCTGTTAGACAAATGTTATAATTTTGACCGAGTAACTTATATTTTATCGGAATTTAAAATTTCTGGAATATATTATCTCATATATATGTAAATTTTATGTATTTAATTATGCGATAATAACGATAACGACTAAAATATAATGTTAAATAATGTCCTTAAGAATGCATATACATGAATGTTGAAACGAGAAAGGCGAGCAAACTGAGCGAAAGACTGATTACCGAAAACGTCAAAGAAAATAATTCAAAATCAATGGCTCTTGCGGATAGAATATTACATAAGTGTGTGAATAATTAAATACAATGAAACATAATAAATAATAATTCAAAATTAATTCGTAGCATTTGAAACACAGGCGTCGCTGCACTTGGCCAACGCGCAAAGATTCATTTCGGGGAATGCATCGTTCATTGTCCGTATTATATGTCAAAATACATTTTCAGAAGGTTCGGCTATTTCCGAACGAAAACCAGATTCGATCGCAGTCGTCAATTATCGGAAGCTGGCAAAATTATCGCCACGCAAGCCTCGCCACGAAACACTCAGATATTTTACAAGCATCGCCGGCTGCAATTTACGTCGTGCGCTACACCGGGTGTAATTTAAACATCGATCCAATGCCGCGATACATTACCGCGCGCAAAACACACAACGGTTAAACGAGATTCTGGCAATGGTGCGCCATTTGTAGGTACCAGTTGGCTGTTCGGCACGTGCGAATACGCGACGGACACGCCGAGCATAGTTGTCGTGATCAGATTCACGGAGTCCCGCGATTATGGAAGATGCATGGGTATACAGTATTGATCGATACTTCGAACATCGACCGATTTATTTCGACATTGAACGGAACGAAGAAGATTACCGAAATTGGTTTGTCGCGTGAATCGCGTTGATCTTGTTAAATCGGCAATAATTTCACACCACAAGTAAAAAAAAAAAAAAAACATTTTAAGAGCGTTGTTTTGTCTCATGATTTATTATAAAGTTACCATCAATCTGTACAATAGCACGATTTCGATAATTCTGCTTTATATAGCCACCATTATGCCTTCGATAACTGTAAACAAGTGAATTTTCATTTACGAATGCGTGTTTTGGCTACGTGCATTTTCTATAAAACATTTTTAGATTATAAATTTGATAAAATTATTGAACTTTACCATGTTTTTAAAACGATGATTTAATTTCAATAAATTTTGATAAAATCATAAATTGTATGCAAAAAGAACACAATGGCCGACGTAATTATTCAAGCACAAACTCGCTTTTGTGGTGCTTAGTGGCAGCGATGTGGTCAAGGCATTAGCATATATTTCAGAAGGTCAACCAAGCTACATTTGTCATTCCATATCGCATTTCAGGACCGAATTTAAACAAACGCTGTTTCAGTGCTCGATATAGTTTAATTCGTCGACCTAGTTTAATTTCTTTTATCAGATATTACAG